TTCCCTCTCTCAGAAATAAGACTCTCACTTTTGACGATTCAGCAATCCTTGTACTGTATTTCGTTTATTTTGTGAATCACTTGATTTGTAACGAAACGCGAACACTCAAGTAAATGAGTGGTCATACAAGTAAGATTCGAGTTCTGTTTCTAGCATGGATGTAATTAATCTCTTTGTTCCATCTGTTCTTCTTTCGTTGTTAGGGCGATGTTGATCTGCCTACATGGTGCACAGCATGATAGTCATTTCGTCACTTTGACGAAATTTTTGCTCGGATCATATACCGGGAAACTGTTTAATCTAAAGTGAAGGAAGTTTCGTAATATTTGAGTATCCATTTTTTATGATGCAATAACGACTGTTTCATACTTTAGAACTCTGTACAGGTGAAAAGTGGCATGCGTATATATCATAATTGCTGAACAGTTATTTTATTTCTATTTCTCCTTACCACGTTTTATTAAATCTGCACTGTGGTTATGGAGGTTAACGACTCAACGTGTAAATTCTTATAATTTGAATGCTAGCGTAAAGGTTCTTTTACCATCAGTTTCGTTTGTACTTATTTAAAGATTTTTGTTCATTTTTCGTTCAAGAAAAGTATTAATTATGTGTAAATAGTAAATATTTTCGTTACTAATGTAAGAACATCCACTTAAAAGAGGAAAAAATACGATGCAATTTATAATAGTTTAACACTAAATTGCCCAAGGAAGTCATTTTGACTGCTTTTTAATTCGAAAAACAGTGAGGACACAATTTCCTAGAATTTTGTGACTTTTTGTACAACATATAATTTTTTTTATTGTTGATATTTGCTAATAGCTTGTCATATAACTGCAAATAATATAAAAAATATTAAAAATTTATTTTAAACAAATTTTTTTATACATTCAATACAGGCAATATAGGTATTTCAGTCTTTCTAGTGTTAAAGACCAAGTGAAGTTACAAACATCAATAAATACAATAAACACCCAATTGTTTTATAGCCTGTTGTTAAGGTCTATAAATTACATAAAAGTTAGCTAGGAAAGATTCAGACTGCAGTTGGGTGGACAAGATTAAAGAAAGCTTAAAGAACAGAACTATTTCAAAATTACTTTTTGCTCTCGAAAGTAGTTCCAATCGAAGAAAAAAAAAGCATACCTGTAAGTCCTTGAGACTGCGGATTGAGTCGAAAAAAGGAAAAAAGAAATTCTGTATAAGAAAGTCTTGAATCATACGTTAAATTTAAGAAGCAATTGTGACCAGACTTTATTTCTTTACGGAACATATTATGTATTGTTAAAATGAGTAACTTAATATTGTATGTAATTTATTGTATTGTATCATATAACATTGCATCTCATTGTTTATTGTAATAATATATTACATTATATAAAACTTATTATTTTTAAGAGAATAGCATTTAATACAATATATTCAATTTAATTTTAGGAATAATTCTTAGAAAATATTAAAACTTCCAAATACAAATTTTTGAAATTATTTTGACTGAAGAACTTTAGTTTTATACTTTTATCAATACTCGAACAAGTTCTTTGATAATGTATAACAATAATTATTGTTCTACATTATCAAAATAGTATTATATATTATCACAAAATTTAAAAAGCTAAAATTTTACAAGAATAAATTAATTTTTATGTCTGAATATTCCGGATTTAACCCTAAGAAACAAGGATTCCGCTTTATTGTGGGTTCCACTATTTCCCTCAGCTTCCGTTTTTTCATATATCAGATAATTACAATAAAAATTAATTTTTCATTTATTTTAATCTAAATAATTTATTTGTATTCTTTTTTAAGTTTGAGATAAAAAAAATATTTGCGACGTTTGAATTTCAAACTTTTGCCTATTTGTTAGATAATATCAAAAATAAAAGTTTTTTAAAGCATGAGCTTGTGTAACAGTTCAAGTTTAAAATTATAGTAGTACTAATAAAAATGCATTAATTTGTTCTTTTTTAATTGCAAAATAGTAAAATTCACTTAAAGTAAAATCCATGAAATTCATTCGAAAATGTCGTTATAAAGTATTTTTCATTCTTGGTTTATCTGTTTATTTTGTTGAAAAATCGATTGTTTTTATTTTTTATTTTTAGCAATTATTGTTGCGGATTCTAGTGAGGTATTTCTTGTACGATAGTATTATGATGTGAATTTAAATTCAGGAATTTGAGTAATTACTTTTTGACGTGCTCGATATAATATGATTTACTAAACAAAATAATTTGAAATTAAAAATTTTTGAATCTTATACATAACTATTTCAACATGTGAAATTCGAATTTCGCATTAGTGTAGGCACTTTTTTGACTCGGGATTATGAAGTTCTAAATTCACACAAGTCTTGATGATTTTTCTTTTTGCAAGTTATTGCTATTCATTCCCCACCTAGTATTTGAATTGCATTTTTTGACACTTTCGATTGCGATCGGGCCGATTGATTATTGATCAATTGATTATATCGATTAGTTTTTTCAAAACTTTTTGTTAAGAATTTCTCCCTTATTTTTAAGATGCAATTTTTTTTTCTTTTACTTTTTTTCTTTTTGATATTATTATAAAGGAAAAATTTCTTAATCTTCGAAAAGTTCCAATAAATTGCTTTTTATTTTCTATTTAATTTGTTCAACATAATTATTGCAAAGTGCTACTCTTTGCTAGCTTATGATGAAAATTTCGAAATTTTTCGTTAGCTTTGATTTCTTAAATAATTGATAAGGATTGTACGAAATCTTTAATACATGAATTTTTACTTTTTCTCTGGAAACAGGTTTTTTTTATCGAGTTGTGGGAATTTTTATTTTCTATTCTTTTTCAGTATTTATTAAACAGAAAAATATGTTTAATGAAACTCAGCATTAATTTTTTTTTTGTTTTAAAACTTGATTAATATAGAGTAGAATTCACATGAGACATTAATTTCAGGATTTATTTCAAAAAAAGTTCAGATTTTTGACCCTGATCACCAACGACGAAAGAGTAATGTACTTTTAGCACAGCAAGAGGTTACTTTAATATAAATTAACTGATTTAAAAAATTAAAGATTCGAATTAATTTTTGAATTAATAATGTTTTTATTTTAGTTGAAAAGAATCAAATTAAACTTCAAAAATTAATTTAATTTTAAATGTAATATTAAAATCATGTAGAATCATAATAAATTGTAAACATATATTTATACCATTAAATTTAAGTTAACGGACCAGTTGTTTAAAAATATTTTGGATTATCTCCTTACCAGGTGTAGAGATTTGTTTTATGTCATAATGTGATTTCTATAATTTTCATTAAAAAAATTGGCAAAGAAAAGCCTAGAAAATTCAGAAAATATATGATTTTACTTTAGTAGTACAAATTAAAAAACAACATAAGTTACTATACAGATCATATTTTTATACTTAATTATTGTATCTTATAATAGTATTTTTTTTCCAAATAGCTTAGTACTATTCATACCAAATTAGGTAGATTATTTTTTTGATGCTTTTACTTGTTATGGGTAGTTCTTTTCTTAACCCTTTCGCGCCGACTGTCACAAATACGTGCCAGCGTAAAACCGTATCAATCAGGGTAAAAAGATAAAACTGGTAATCAAAGTAATTCTTTCGCAGTTTATTTGTGGGCGGAGTTATAACTGTTTGATTCATTTAATTCACCATTACTTTGTTCAAAATAAAACTATTTAGTTATACTTTGAATTAACATTGATTATATATATGATTAAACTAATAATAATTAAAGTAAAAGCAAAGTAAGTCTGTCAAATCAGAAAGGACTACATTTAAGTTACCGTTTCTTATTTAATTACGTACTGATCCTGATTTTGTAAGAATGCTTTTCTGAATCACCCGTCCCCAAAGGGTTAAGCATTCCTCTTATTATTTTTTAAGTACTGTAAAATTTTAGAGATTAAATTACGTAGATTCATAGTCAGTAAAATCCATTTATCATAAAATATGTCTTTTTTCCTTAAAATATTATACTGTTATTTTATATAAAAAATATTAAAANNNTGTATATATATATATAGTATTTTTTCTTTATTTTGATATAGAGGCTATTGAAATTTCTTGGATATCGAAGAAATTTCAATAGCCTCTATCAAAATAAAGAAAAAATACTCTGAAAACAAAAACCGTATCACAGTTTTTTTCCCGGAAAAAATCACGGACAAGCAGTGGCCAACCAACAAGTTCAAAACAGAGATCCATTTCATTCGAAAGACATATCGACCTTCTTTTCTTTTCTGAAACTTTCCCTCCTTTCTTAACATGAATGGCATGAAGAAGAGGTTTTGTTTGAAAAAAAGAGATTGTACAAAAGGCCAAACTTATTCAATATATCAAATTGATTTATCTGTTTCTGACCACGTATATTTTAACAAAAAGCCTTCTCTGCAACACATGAAAATTAAATATTGGCGAATTCTACCAAAGAATTGTAAAATAAATAATTTATATTCTATGCAGGATGCAATTTTTTATTATGCATTTGATTTTTTTTCTTCGATGACCTTAGCAACATTTTTACCTTGTCCCGACCCAAGTTGGGTACAAAATTTTTCCTATATGGATTCCATATGAAAATGTACCAAGGGACCAATATTGGGATGTCTAGATTTTTTTATATTGATCCTACATAGGGCCAATATCTGCCTTTATAGGACTTATATGGGGAGTATAAAGAATATAAAATATTGGGTCAATTTTACGATTCTTTATAGGGACGATATTGGTTGTGAAGCCGCTGTAAAATATCGGGTGATATATAGGGTCAATATCGGAAAATAACGGCCCTATGAACCCTTACTAAGGCAAGATTCGTTTAGATCGGCCCAAGTTATTTTGCTGCTAGGGATATTCGTAAAATCAGAATTAGGTCTGCTGTTCAACGCTAGTCATAAAATGTGTATGATATTCTATGCATATCATGCTATGTTTATTATAGATAGATATACCAATCTTTTTCTCTTTTTTCTATACAAAATAATTTTTGCAGCATATTCTGCGCCAATATAACGGCAATAAATGTTGTTTGGAGAATAAGACCTATAAGTGAAAATGGATTACGAAGGTAATTATTTTTTTCTTATAATTCTTTCATATAATCTTAGTTTAATTTTCTTATTAGTAATCTCTCATGCATCCTATATTTTTAATAATATTATGTTATAAATATATAGCAGTTTATTTATCGCAAGTGATAATAATATATGTTATTTAGTTACATTATATAATAACATTATATAATAATAAATGTAATTAAGGCAAAATGTGTAATAATAAAAAATTTTGTTTGGGTAATGTATGTAACTTAGTAATAATAAGTATAGATTAAGGGAATTAGAAATTAAAACTTATAAATGTTTCTTTGCTATGATGCTAATTATAAATGTTCTATCTTTTTTTCTGTGTATTATGTATCTTTTTCTTTTTGTATATTTTTGTACATGAAGAATATATAATTTGTAGTGAAACGTTTTTTAAACTTCTTCTTATAGATGTTTCTTTCAAACAAAATAGCGTTTTCAATGTTTCTTTTAAACCAATAGTACTTTAAAAATAATCAGTGATTCCTGAAGTAATTGTCGAGCTTCGAACTTCCATAAATTCTGAACATTGCCTTCGTAAGTTATAAAGAGCATGATAAAATTACAAGTGTGTAATACTTTTGCAACAAAGAAAAGCTTATGAAAGTTGCAAATGCTTGAAACTACAGTAAGTGAGCAAAAGCAAGGAAAATAACTTACCAAAAATGAAATAAGTTAGCCAACTCTTTTAAGATTTCTTAATTTAGCTAAAATATGATAAATATGTCAACGTATGAAACATTGGTAACTTAAAAACTTCAAGCTAAAATGGACAATGTATGCAACTTTCAAAGATAGTAAAAAATGGCCATTGTGCAAAACTCTTATAGCTCCTTAAAAACAAGTTTAAATGGCCAACATGCGACACTGACGAAATAAATAAAAAAATAAGGTCGTTTCATGCAATTTGAGATATCTTGCTGCCAATGGTTCTTTATAATACACTTGCAAATATTAAAAGATTAAAACTTCATTCGCTACAAAAAAAATTTAAATAGGTTATAATAGTCGATATTTTTCAAACTGTAATAAAACAGGTGCCCATTTTCAAGACTTGCCAGTTGTAAATGCGAAGAAAAAACTAGTGGTTAGAAATATAAAACTGAAAGTTTCCAACAAAAAATGGAAAAAATGAAGATGAGAAACAAAACTAGAAAAACCCCTGTAGCCGAGAGGGAAAAAAGACGAAAAACAGAAAAAAAACGCAAAAACTATACTAGCTAAGGGTATAAAGGACAATAGTAGAGTATTGTCCTTTCTTGTAATATAAAATATGTTTATTGTCCAAAATATTATGCTAATTTGCCTTTCTCAGTCTTTTCGGGTTTTATTATTCTGTTGTTTTATCACCATCGACAAAATAATTATTTAGCAGTATAAGTAATTATTTTATTTTAATCAAAAGTGTGCATTTTGCTTAATATAACTACTTATCATTAGCATTAGATTAATTTTGAAAATAGAGTTTTGGAAATGTTTACTTTATACAGATACCGTTTTTCAAATTTTATTACCAATACCGATTTCTAGAAAGTACTTTCCTAATATTTAGAAAAATCTGCTTTTCTCAAAACTTATTTGAAACTTTTATTTATCTATTCTTCTAAAACATTTCGTAAATATTTTAGAAACGTTTCAAATTGTTTTAAACCATGAAACATAGAATCTATTGCAAATGGATTAGAAAAAAAAAAAGGCTTAATAGTGAGACACTAATTCCCCGAAACGAGTTAGTTGATTTTACTTCTAAAGGGCTATTTGGGGGCTATAAGGGCCTAATTATGGAGTTTTCCTCTCTTTATAATGCAAAAATGGAGAAAATTCATTAATAATCAAAATTTATATCCTCTTTATGAAAATCAAATCGTATTCTTCTACTAACTCAGTATTAGTCTTCTAGGCTGGATTATTGTTAGTGATTACTTATTGCATCCAATCGACTACATCACCAACGGTGATAATAATAGATTTTAAATCAGGAGTATTAAGAAAACAAAACAATCTCTAACAAACAATGTATTCAATATCTTAACCAAAAATCCAATAATTGTAAATATTATTTTAAAAATAAATTTTGCAAGCTTTAGATAAACAGATTTTGTAATTGTGTGCAAAATGTCATAGACAATTGTTATCAGAAATAAGTCTTGAAGTCGAAGAAAAAAAGAAAAGAATCGTTGTCAGGAACTGAAATCCATAATTAGAAAAATATCATCAAACAGGAAATTATCAAAAATTGAGAAAATATAAAAATCCAATTGTCCCCATACGAAAAGTGTTGTTAATACATATATGTAAAAATAAAACTAATTGCTTGTGAAAATAATTGCTTGCGTTTAATAAATCGAAGTTTCAAAGTTTACTTTCTAAATTTAAAATAATACCTTTTCTAAATGCATGGAAAATAAATTACAATACAAACACAATCTCAAATAGCAAATATTAAGCTTTTATTTCAACTGATACTTTAAATATATCAAAAAATGAAAACTTCCAACATTAAGAAGATTGTGACATAACTTCTTTGAAGGATAGTATAATTATGAGGAAATTTTTGAGAGCAAATTTTACTACCTAAAACGCAGAACCTTCTCGAAAGTTAGTCATTAAGCAAAAAAAGTAGAAAAATGATTAAATTGGGTTTTGTAAAAGCCTTACATTAGCTCTTTTCTTGAGATCTTGATGAAAGCTCTCTTTTTACGAAAAAAAGATATGCTGGTGGATGATAAAAACAAATTTGCATATTTTCTTTCCTCTCATAGAAAATGTTAAAATAGCTAGGTTATTATGGAAAAAAGTAGAAATATTAATAAAAAATAAGTATACTTATTTTTTAAGAAAAGTCGAAGGGGTTGGCTCACCAAAATAAAAAAAACCTTTTTTAACGTTTCATTAGCTAATATTAAGGCTTATAACCTTTTTTTTAACATATTTCAAAGTAACATGGTGAATGGTTTAACATGGCAAAGATATATCGTAATACTAAAGGATATTAAATTAGATTTTTAAGTCTCTTCAATATATCTGTATATGAAACATAAATGAAAAAAAAAACATGTCTGTAAAAGTTTTTTTACTAGGAAACTAGCTTTCCCAGTATCACTAAATTTAAGATGATCCGTTTGATTAAATATAGGTACTCGGAGAAAAATATCCGGTAAAATTACAGTACTATATTTGTGGTAAAAAAAATCGTAATTTTTGTTAATAAAACCAAAATACATGGTATTTTAAACCATTTGTTTGGTAATTTTTTTCTTTTATATGGGAAAAGTTTAGCGGAAATTCTGGATTTCAAACTTGTAGTTCTTATTTCCACTCATCAGTTAAAATACAAAACTGAAACGTTAATTTAGTAGAATAAATGGTTTTACATACTCTAAAGTTCCAGTTTTTTAACGGCCACGGAACACTTAATCAAAATTCTTTTGATGGAACCCTGACTTTGAATTAATGTTTATAAGCAGATGTAAATATGCTAAACAAAAAGAAGAACTTCAAATTAATTCGAAAACTTTTAATGTGAATGAATTATTTTATTGTTTCATAAATAAGTTCAGTTATGTTTGGCAGTTGAATTTGCAAGTTTGCCGAAACTCTATTTTGTTGTTGTATAAATCTAGTAGCTTTTACAGTTTAAATTAAAATTGTATAAAATTAAGCTGAATTATAATATTTGAAAAAGAACTTATAAATTGTGAGAAAGGTTATCTCGAAAAATAATTCTTTATTCTTGAATTATGATAATTCATTTTGAATTTCAAAATTCAGTGAGAAATACTGATGCAATAATTTTAAAAAGCATATCATTCAGCAACTAATTCAATGTATTGTTTTTTGAAAAAAAAATTATATCTTTTCAAATTTCCTATCTAAAGTTTATTGCAATATTATGTAAATAATTCTACGAAAATATTAAACAAAAAATGGATTATTTTCCGGATACAGACCTATTGCATGCTTCAAAAAATTCTTACTGGTTAAGAAAAAAGTTCTAACTTACAGAACCCCCATGACCTTTTCACGGAACTCTAGAGTTCCTCGGATCATTATTTGAGAACCATTGCTCTAAGGCATGATAATTATAAATTGTATGACCATGGTTATTGTTATTTTTTCTAAGTAATTACCAAAGCGCTTCAGTGAAAATTATCGAGATTTTAAAATTCCTATAGAGGCAGATACACAGTAAATTTAACCATATTCATATGGTAAATTTAACCTTATTTTTTTCTCAATGTAATGAGCATGCCTTTACACCAGTGGTGGTTACGGATTAGTTCAATCTTGCTAAAACACAACTGTCTAGTATTCTTATTTCCTTGTGCACATACTTACACCAAAAGTGCGTTACATTTCACATCAGGTGATGGTTACAGACGAGTTCAGTCTTGCTGAAACACAACGGTCTCGTATTCTTATTTCATTGTGCACGTACTTAGACCAAAAGTGCGTCACATTTCCACAGCATTCGGACAAGCAAACTTATTTGTTTATCATCTATAAATGTCCTACATTATTGAGAAAAGTAATACGCATATTTAATATATTTAAATACCAAAATCACAATTTTATATTAAAATAAATTGAATTTATCAAACAAGATCAACGTAATTATTCGTTTTCCCCAGGACTAAGTTAGAACAAGTAAGCTTATTTTAATTATAAGTAATGTCGATCTTATGTTTGCCATCATTAACTAATACATGGCTGATATCTGAAAATGAAATTTGAATCACTGTATTAAACAAATTACTTCGCATTAGTTTGTTAATAAATAAAAGAAAATTAACAATTTGAAACGTTCTATTTACCTTCAAGCACATTCTTTCGTTTTGCAAATGTACCAAGTTGAATTTTATTCCAACGAATTTGTAAGGGTAATAATTTTTCATTTCATTTCTTTTCTTCAAATGCAAAATGAGAAAAAAGAAGAAAAAAACTGGATTATTTCTTCGAATTATGATTTGAATTATGATCGAATTTGGAAATTCAGTTTTATGTTAGCCTTTTAAATCTATCGATTGTCAATGCTTAAATTTTTAATCTTCAACACTTGAAAGTTTACTTTTTCAGATTTGTTACAATTTTACTCTTTTTCTCCACTTAATTTTTCAGTTCTTTTTTAAAATTATTTACACTTAATTTTTCCCTTAGTTTCACATTTGTTTCAAATTTTTTGTAATTTATTTATCCAAGAAACATCAGTATTTATAATACCTGCATAAATGTTCTACCATATTTATATAAAAAAAGACAAATTTTGTAAAAAAATCGAAAAAGAAGCTACTTTTAACATTTTTATCATTAACACAGTTAATAAAAAAACAATTTGGTGTTTTGGATCTGTTTCTTAATCACGCAATAAAACTGAACCAGAGTGTTTCGTTGATAATATTAGTCTATACTTACAAGACAAAATAACAGTTACCGGATAATTAAGATGAAAATATCCAGAAAGGTATTTTCAGTAATATTTAATAAATATTTGCATTATGAATTTCCTCCTGCAGATATGAACTTAAGCGTCTTTGGCGAAAATGCGAGTGATTTCAAGAATTCCAGTGGTTACATGGATTATGACCGAGACGAGTCTTTCAACATGTATTTCTTGGATGAGCTCATACCAGTGGCTCTTGTGTATGGAATAACACTGGTCGTGGGATTAATTGGAAATATCTTAATTATATACACGGTGGTGAGTTTCCGTAGGATGAGAACCATCAGCAATGTCTTCTTAGCTTCTCTAGCAACGGCAGATCTTTTGGTGGTTATTATATGCGTACCAGTTAAGGTAAGCAATTTTTATAACTGAAATGCACATTTAATTTTTAAATTTAAAAAATAAAATTCATGCAATTTTGAATAAAATATTTTGTTTTTGTTTTGGAGAATAAAATTTATTTAAACAATTTAAGTTGTAAAGATATCCTAACATTTTACAGGGAATTTCATAATGAACGAAAATCTTAGTGGTTACAGGAGGTGACTTCAAATATGGTAAATAATTTGCGCCAACTATTAATAAGATTCTCAATCAGACACGAAAAACGTATTTTCTCTGAATAAACATGTAAAGATATCTTTTATAAATTTAGACTCTTCTCCCTCAAAATATGGGAGTTGATAAAATTTCGAAGTAATTGGATCATAAATTTATGGACAATGAAACTATATTTGGTCATAATTCCAAACAATGGCTACAGCATGTAGAGTAATTTAGGATAACTATAAGCTAACTGTGCGAGCCATGGCGACTCAGAAGGCAACCCGGATTCGAATCCCAGCTATGGCTGGTCCATACCAACTTATGCCGAGCACAGTGCTGACGTAAGATATCCCTAGTAGTTGACTCATCATTGGTTAGATAGAGTACCCAAGCCACCTACCTACCGATGGGAGGTTTTCATGGTTTTCCGCTCCATGTAGCACATATGTGGACTAACTGCATCAAAAAGACCTACACCAAGGTAAATTTTTCCCATTACTCCACTATTAAATTAAACAATAAAAAACTAAATATAATTATTTTTTGAGTGTAGTTATCTGTGGGTAAATGGGTTTCATCAGTAAATGCAATTTTTAAATTGAATTTATCATTAAACCAATTTTCACTCGCTCTCCTGAATTAAGCTTTAAGGGTCATAATTTCCAGAATGTGGCCTACTCCCCCCACCCATACTTCAAGAGTTAAAAATCCAAATCTGTGAAATATATATTATGTTATTTGTAACACATGAAATATGCGTTAATATATTACATATATATAGGTATATATGCTGATTCAAAGAGAGAACGTCTTTGTGTCCAATTTCGGAACTAAATTAATAATAAGAGCAGATTAATTTGCATATTAGAGGTCACCTCCAGGAACGATTAAGATAGACACTTAGTTTATGAAAATCTAATTATTAAAACATAAGTATTGCAGGTCATATTTTTTTCTGCGCACTGTAAGGGGGAGTGGGGTCAATTGTAACATTTTTTACTTAACTATTAACTAACAAAAAATCCAATATATTGTTAGCATTAATTGACAGACGAGTAAAGTAGACTATCCTCTACTAGAAAAAAAAATATACCTTATTTAGAATGCTGTTATATTAGTTATTAACAATTTCTGACAGTAGTGCACTTGTTACAATTGTACCCATTTACGGGGTCAATTGTAACAGTTAATAAATTCAACTGAAACATAATTAATTTTCCATATTATTATAGTTGTGATATATTTTTTTATTGATCAAAATAGTAGTGATATTTTAGGCGTAAAATTAATAATGAGCATAGACCTAAAGGGTTAAACTTTTAACTTTAAGGGGTTAAAAATTTTAATTTATGCTGTGAAAGGTGACAAATAAAATAATGCCCGTGCAACATAATATAAATGATATAGGAAACTATTGGTGGTTCTTAAAGAGTTAAGTAATGGTTTGTAAACATAAGATTATTTATTTTCAGCTGTTACAATCGTCCCTTTACTTATTGTTACAATCGTCCCCAAGACGCCATTTCAGCTTCATTTGTTAAAAACAATGCTAGTTAATTAAAAAAACTAATCTTTTTTCTGAAATGTTAATTAAGGTGTCCACTTACATAGTCGGTTAATAATTTTTATTTGTTTAAACAAAATTACTTTGTTACAATATAATATTCTAATACCAAAAAAGTACTTACGTAGCGTGAAAATATATTTTGTGACGTAACTCTTTTAAAAGTACATAAAAATGGTTGCCTGCAGGGGTGTACATGTAGATTTATTAGATACACATTGTGCGCCACCTAGGAACCAAATCTAGAACCCGACACTCGAAATTTTCGCTCTATTACAATCGTACCCTGCTACAATTGACCCCACTCCCCCCTACGTATAGCATAATAATAAGAAAACTATTGTTATTTTTTATCTATTTAACGCATGAAAAAGTACAAATTATCCCATGAAAGCTATGTGTTTTATAAAGTTTGTAAATAAATTTATGTTTATTGCCTTGATGCGAGCTGAACTAAGATTAATGATAATCTAACAAAATCATGAATGAAATAAGGAATTTTAATTAAAAAACTGTTCAGAATATCTTAAAATTGCAACATATTCCGAAACGTCCATCTTTAACAGATATTTTTTAAATTCATCATAAATGATTTCAGAATTGAACAATGATTAGGAATTGTAAATTAGATTTTAATTGATGAAATAAGCGAAAACTTTATCGGAATCCAATGAATCACAATTGATAAAGATGAGACTGACAATATCAACGGCTGTTTGTCTACCTGATGAAACTGGGAGGTGTTTCTTATAATCGCATTATAATTTCACGTTTGTTTCCCTAACAATTAAACTGGTATTGGTATTTTTTGCCCTTCTTATTGAACAGTGATTTATTAGATATCTAAAAGGTTTTTTTTTCCACCCAATTAATGTTATTAGGGATCAGAGGGATTGATGTTATTAGTAAAATCAAATACATAAATTAGGGATCAGAAATTAATGTTTACTTCAACATTAATTTCCGATCCCTAATTTATGTATTTTATTTTATAACCAGCGTTGAAAAATCAACAGAATTCTAAGCTTGTGATTATTAGTATTTAACTCCGTACCCTTGTAATTTTGAACCCTATCCAAAACACAAGCGAAATCCTGGGCCAAAAATTTAGACAAACTAACCTTCGTGGATGACTTTTTCATGGAACTAACACGCATTCGCGTTACATGCACTTGAAAACCACAAAAAGATTCCGTGGTTAGCATGATGGCAATTGGATTCCAGACTTTGATATCTCTACCACCGAGTATATTTTATGTCAGCACTGTGGTCGGTGTGAACCGGGAAAGGAATTCGTATCCTCCAGCCAACGCTGAGATTCGAACCTGCTCACCTAAATGGGAGGAAATTGCTCTATTCCCTGAATCGTTGTGATTATCTCCTTCAGGAAAAACAATACAATCATCTCATTTGACGTGTTAGAATTTTTCATTTACATCAAAGTTCAATTTTTATTTACATAGAATCTGGGGACCAAATCTCAAATAATATTTGAATGATATTTCACGAAAGATTATTTATAATATTGTTTTTTTTTTCTGAAAAGTTACGTAATACTTTTATAATAAGAGTTTCATAAATTAAATCAACTATTTCCCATTCAAATATTCTGAAATATTTCGCTTTCTAAGGTTTATCTAATCAATACACTTAAGGTGAAAATAATGTAAGATTCTTTTCATGATTAATGTATACACTTCTGACATCAATTTGCAGAAAAACCTTTAGAAGGAAGATATATTTATAAAAATTGAGCTGTATATACTTTTTCCTATCCCTTACAATTGGTTTCGATAATATCTTTTATATTCAAAATGCTATATTCTGGCAGATTTAATTTAAAAATCCAAAGAACATATTTTTGCTTAAGGCTAAAAGCAAAATAGAACTTTTTTGTATGAAATATTTTTCCAAAAAGTGCAAGAGATATATTTCACAAAAGAATATTTTTATAAAATCCAAGTACGTTTTTTAAACTGTAAAACATTATTTTTTCTAAAATAAGTAGAAACAACTATCTACCTTAAAAATGTGCAAATTATGAAAATATTTCAACTTCAAAAGTTTTTTCTATACTTGAATAATACAAATTGGAATATATATATATATATATATATATATATATATTTACATATATATAGAGAGAGAGAGCGAGAGAAAAAGAGGACATGGGAAAAAATATAAATATTTTTAAAAAAAAGAAGAAAAAAAACTCCAAAACAAAGCTATTTTAAAATATATTTAATTTTTTTTGAAAATAAGAAAATTAAAGTCAGAAAGCAAATTAGGGGAAGGATACAATCTCATCATCAGCCCACACGAATATATCTTCAAAAAAGAGTGCTTTCTATAATTTTTTTCTTCTTCTTTTCTAAAAATATTAAAATATTGTTTCATATTTTCTTTAAATTTTTTACTTGTTATTACTTGTCCATGTACTTGCAGCTTATGCACAGTAAATAAATCTTAAAATTATTATTCTTAATTTTCTTTGTTATGCTCTCTTTTCTTGTATAAATTCTTTTACTATATACATGCTGAAACGAAGAAAAAATACTTTTAAATCAGGAGGTTGGAAACTGAAACCATTTTGCCGGAAAAGGAAAGTATTGCATCAAGGAAAATATTATTTTAAGGCTTCTGTTTTCCTTAAGGTAGGATCAATAAGGTCATATATGAAAAACGCTTTATTTTTTGCTCATACTTATGAGCTTCTGAATTTAGAGCTAATTTAGAAGACGAAACATTAAAGGAATCTTTGTGTCCGTGTTAGTGCCCTAATTCTTTTTGGACAAAAAATTATCTGCCCTAGTAACGAAAAACTCTTAAAACTATAAAAGCTTTTGAAACTGCATGAAGAAAAATTCTGGTAAAATTAGAGATCAGTATATTCGTCAGATTTCTGGCAAAAATTAATAAATAAAATTTTTAAAAAAACCACACATTTCGGTAATAATATCAAATTATACGATATTTATACCCTTCATCTGGTAATTTTTCCGCTCATATGGCGACTGTTTACTTGAAATTCTGGTTTTCAGGACTATAGTTCTCTTTAACACACATTTAGTAAAAAAAAAGAGTAAAGTAAAGGATAAAAGATTTATTCTTTATTTTACTCTTATCCTTTACTTTATCCAAGAGTGAAGAATTTTTAATGTACTTTCTCCGCCAGAAAATAATTAATTCAGTTCATTTTTTTAAATTTTATTTCATGGAAGCTGGTATGAGATTAGAACTTTTTTAATCACATCTGTTAACAGTTTTTTTGCCCCTCAGATTTTCAGTTGTTTTAATATAAAATTAAAATCACGAGCTCTGTTAATCTTTATCTGTTTTTTCTAAGTACCTAATTATATCTGCTCTGAATTACATCCAATTTCTTCCGTGCACCTATTACATGATTTTTTTATTAACTCATTACGTAGCTCTCTACTGAATTTATTCGGCTGTTAACGAAGATACTCATCCATTGATTCACGAAAGTTCTGATTCATTCATTCACCCCTTCATTAAACCAATCACTGACTGAATCGCTTCCTTTCTTCTATCGATCCTTTCTTCTTTCATTTCCTAAGTATGAGACTGGGACAGCCTGGTTAGTAAAGCGTTGGGCCCGTGTCCAATAGGTTGTGAGTTTTATCCCTGAAAGCCGAAGACACCCTGTGTAGTTAATGAGGAAGTCTGTACATTAAATCTGTAGGATCACAAAGTCCTTCATGTTCCCATAACAAATCATACATCAGAGGGTACTGAATTGGTGATTGATCGCTCTCTGGTTCAGGTCCAAATTGCGATCTGTGGATGAATTACTAGAAGTATGAATGGTCCCACTCTTTAAACAGGCTGTGTATGTGGCTGAAATCCTATTCTTGACCATAGATGGCACCACTGAAAAACAAGAAACGCATCCTCTGCCTTAAAGTCTCCTGGTTTCTCTGAGCAGGCTTACTGATATATGGCAAGTGGCATTGAGAACAACAACATTCTCTAACTATAAAAAAAGTAATTCATATTAAGCTATTAACGATAAGTATAGAAGCTAATCAATGATCACAAATTACTTTAGCTTAAGAGCGAACTTATATAAACTTGTTATAAAAGCCATAACTTAAAATAAAAATGCTTTTTTTACATATATTTCAGTTTGGACAACTATTTTCTTACTCTTGGGCACTCGGTGAATTTGGTTGCAAATTTGTCCACTACGTGCAAAACGTCTCTGCAATTTGCTCCGTTCTCACTCTCACATCTATGAGTGTCGAAAGGTGGGTCAATTTTTTATTGTAAATATAAATTATTTAAGTTAAGAATAAACTTTGTACAAATTTAGCTACGAATTACAGTAAACAACAGAGAATAGTCAATAATCTACTTAATATAATAAAAAGTGCAAAAAATACAAAACAGTATTGATTAGATGGTGAATAAAGCTAAAAAACATGATCTAAGTATGGAAATGGAGATGGTTCTATGAACAATAACATTTCTCAGTGTCAATGCTTAACCCTGAGAACGGTTCCTTTTTTTTTACACAACCGCAATTGTATATTAATTTTATATTGTTTTGAAAATTACTTATGCTACGATAGACTGCAAAACAAAAAAGAAATGCTTGAAACACCGCTATAAAAGTTGGTTTTACAATAATGAAGTCCAGAAAAAGAGCTTTTATTTTAGAGGCCAACAATAAAGAGCATACAAAAGTTCATTATTACTGAAGAAAGTCATGCTCGATTTATCAACGCGTATAGGGTGCATAATTGATTTTGGGACAATTGGATTATTGGAACAAACTTTAAAGGGAGGTAGAGGTCATCACATGTATTAAGAATTGTGTAGCAACCCATGGTCGGAAACGTCATGGGAAAGTGGTATGGCAGGTAGATTATACAGACACAAGACAGAGATGATCTGAAATATTTATTTGTCAAAGATATTACAAGTGCTGTGGTAGTTGATATGTGACAGTATCACAAAAAGTTTAACGTTTCCAGCATTGCAAGCGATGTATGAGTTACACCATTGGACCATGGTTTGGCGGACTCGCTCAAATACACCAGAATTTTGTTGGATATCCTCAGCAGCACAGATGATTCTTACAACCAGATCCATTTCGAAATCCACAGGTGTTACGTACACAGCCATTTTTCAGTGCACATCAAAGAAAGAAATGCATGCTGCTTCAATCACGAGATCTTGGTGACCAGGAAAACCGGGTGACCATGTCCAATCCTACAGTGACCAAACACCTGGTTCAAATGTTCAAAAACACATCAGCCATAATGGGGAGATGGCAAAAGATTAAACAATTGCAAAATGTTTAGATAATTTGCTGACGTTAGAGGTAATGGCAGCAAGTAAGATCCAATTAAGAAGACGCCGACGACATCAGATCACGCCCATAAATGCGCAATGTGATGATTGAGCACACCATATCGCGCGAAGTACGCCTCTTCCGTAAATAAAACGTACTAAGGACGGGAAAGGTACGCTTTGGCAACATTGGCCAAGATACCACTGTGCAAAACGCACAAGCAGAATGATCTGTGGGGATCAGGGATTGAAGATGGTATAAGAGTAATACTTCACGCTGCGAAGCAAGATGAACATTATTTCGAGATCCTCCTACAGCAACTGCAAACGCTCGCCAGCTGGTAATCGGATTACTTTGAACGGTATCGAACACATTTTGTTCCATGCTGGGAGTTCTAGTCACTTGCGACCCGCCATTACGTAATGATCAATATTCAAACAAATTTGATACAAATTAATAAACATCTGGGTGTCCGTTGCATTTCTTTGTGAGCAGTTTCCACGATAAAATCTATCTGCTGCTCGTGCATTTCCCTCTTTCAATCCGTACATCATTTTCATATCTACCAGCACGCTGTTTGTATAATGTTGCCTAATTATAGAACGTAAAATTTATAACGTAACATTTCCATACTCCTCTGCGAGTCCTGACAGTTCAAAGAACTGCAGTATTGCAGATCTGATCTGAATCCCTGTGATGTTCCCTACCTCCTGTTAAAGTTTGTTGTGACACAGTAGAAATAAAAGCAAAAGTATTCCTAAGATAAATTTTCTTATATCGTTGTTCGAATTAATCCATGCTTTATAACATTTTTAAAGAAGAAAACAGAATTGGAGTTTAGTAAAAAAGAAGTTTTCATGACTCATGTCAGTTTGTTGGATGATTCTGAACTTTAAATCAAGTGTCCTAATTTTCATAGTTGAGATTTTTCTTTTAATTTTCATCAATTTTATTACCTGCACAATTTATATTGAATGGTCATATTTTCATTAAAGAAATAATTACAAAATATTGTATACAATTATTTCCCACTTCTTTTTACCTCTGTCTTACCTAATTAAATCTTTTTAAAATAGTGCATGTTAACCATAAAAGATGAATATTTATCCAACAAATTATTATAAATGATATTCAATTTCAGAAAATCTTAAAAACCAAACCAAAGTTCTTAACCCAAGTTCTTTTAATGATTCAGAACTTTATGTAAGTTTGTAACAAACTAGAACTATTCTAGCTGTTGTATATGATATGAAACAACAACAGCAAAGTAACTACTATTTATTGTGGTAATCACGGATTATTTCAGATCATACATTAGTTAGAATTTTAGGCACAAGTTATGTTTTCGCATACATTGTGTTACACAAAAAATATATTTAAACCGTAATAGAGGTATGCAATCCAGCATAAAGTAAATATTCAAATAATTTGTTTACAAATATTTTTTTAGGAAGTTTCTGTTACCTTTTCAGATATTATGCCATTATGCATCCTGTAAAGTCCAGATACCAATGCACAATGCGTCAGGCACGACGTCTGATCATAGTTATATGGATTCTCTCGTTCGTTACTGCTGTACCAATTATATTTGCACAAGTGAGCACTATTTATTTACCTTTATAAGATATTTTACCATATCACTGTTTTGGGTGTTCAACAATACGTAGCACTGGAAAAAAGCATATTTTAAGCTAACAGGATAAGGCAAAACTAATTGCGTTTTTGGCTCTATGGGAACACTATAAGGCTCGGTAATTTTTACCGAAGCTTTTTGGTAATAACTTTTATAAAGTTAACAAAGAAATATGGTTTCATAATATATAATTTTCCAGATTTGTGTAAATTTTGCTTTGTTGCAAAAAAAAAAGAAAACTAGTAACTTAAAAACTAAAAAATATGATGTACAAAAAATGTACAGGATGCAAAATGGGCTCACTAAATAGTTTGATAATTATCAACTGTCAAACACGTAGTAAATTGCAATTTCAGAGGTGAAATTTGGTGTGCTAAAAGGAACATTTTTGTGTGCGAACATAACACAAGTATTTTTTTCGAAACTATAATCCGTACAACAGTTATTGCAATTTTATATGTTTCTTCAGAAAAGTTTTCTTACTTGTTACTTTAAGCAATTGCCATACATCTTTTATTACTAGTATAAGAGTATAAGAGTTCAAGAGACTATTAAATATACCTATCTATATAATTAGAAATCTTAAGTACCGCAGCTGTTGTTTCGGATATTCAATTCGTAACTTTATTACAATGATTATTAAAAACTTGATGTTGAAAACTGTAAAACTTTAAAAAATGTACAAGATGTACGATGGAACAAATAAATTTAGTTTCAATTATTTGTTCAAGAATAATCAACTTATAAACATATCGTTCAAAAACAAAACCATACAGTCCAAACAAAGCCATACTGACCACTAAATTGCAACAACAGAGTTGGAATTTAACGTGCAGTCATTTTCATTAATTTAATTAAATTCATCATTAAAGTAAATTAATTTTTTAATATAACTAAATTCAATGAATTAATTTCATCAATTCATAATTTAATTAATGCATAATCAAAAAATACTAAATCAAATAAAAAATTAAATTATTTATCTAATTAAATAAATAATTGAATAATTAATTGATGAATAATTGAAAAATACTTAATTAAATTACAATTTATTGGAAAGTTACTGCAATTTAGGATGCTTGTTCAGTTACTTTAATTCAGTTTTTTTGCTTTAATTAATGACAATTATTTCCAGTGCTGTATTTTTTTTCTCTCTCGAGATTCTAATTTTAAAAACTTACGTTTAACGATGTAAAAAAGTAACAAAAACTCAATAAATGAATGAAAAAATTAAGTGGGGGGAAGTATTAGAAGTTGTCAGAAATAAATGTTATATATTTATATCGAATTTTAAAAATATAAAACAGTCTAGAGAGATAAGAGCCGTTTCCAATTTGAAATGCTTTAGGATGTGATGTTATCGTGATATCGTGTTAACTAGTAAAACTACTTCTAATTTATTGTTTCTTATTGTACTGTATGTTCTTTAGTTTCAGTTTACACGTAATTTTTTTCAAGTTTAATAGATCTTTTTTCAAATCCATTATCAAATTTTGCTTCCTTTTATTGTTTATGTCAATGTTTTATATCAACAAGCCTAAAAATATTCCTTTTTTTAGAAGGAATTTATTCGTTGCATTAGTCAAATTCAACCAGATTTATGACAAACAGTCATTGTAAATTTTGAAAGAAGAGCAAACTCTTAGAGGTCGTTTGACCAATTTTCCATTCCATATGTAACCTTACATTATATTTTCTATGGACCAATAAAAATGTTACATAATCATAACGAAAAACCATCATTCTCAAAATACCCTAAATACTCAAAAAGAGAAAAGATCGTAACCCATTAGACTAATTATATACATCAATAACCTTATAATATTCAAGAAAATTAAAATTGCTTGCGAAACTTTTCAAATAGTGCGATGAAAATAGGCGGATTTGAACTTTTTATTTTTATCATTATAATTATCATCAAAAATAATTTCCCTAAAACAGCGGGAAACATTTTATTGATGAGATTTTCAGTCTTTTCACAGTTCAAAATGTGTATTTGAGAAAATGGACACATCTCAAGATACGTGTTTAAGAAAATGGACACATCTTGAAATGCTGTTAAGGAAAGAAGAAGCAGTTTTAAATGCATGTTTTAGAAAAAAAAACTTCAAAAATAAACTAATGGATCCAAATAAATTTGTAATACAATCAGTTTTAGCTGTGTCGGCTTTTGTAAACTCATTTTTTTGACTTTATACATTTTCGTAAGCATACATTTTGAGCCACATCCACTTTCTTAAACACGCATTTCGAGCTGTTTCAATTTTCTTTAAAAACACATTATGAGTTGTATAGATTTTTGCAAACCAAATTTTGAGCTGTGTTGAGACTTATGATTTCAGTAACGATTTATAAGTAAATCATTTTCAATACATGCCTAAGGCAAATTCAAAAATTCATTACAGCTAATTGATAATGTTTCCTCTATCGAATGTTCCCATACCAAGGGCTTTAGTGTTAAGTATAGTCATATATTTATATGCCCATGCCACTGTTTAACAATTTCATTAAATACAATGAGATTCCTGCTGGTCTTCTTGCAGATGTTTTGTATAGGGAGAAATATTATTGTGACCTTCTTCGCCAGTGTTTGTAAAGCAGGATCCACAGTTTCATAAATACATTATATCCAGATAGAGAATCATGCACCGAAAAAAATCTACATAAAAAACAAAATGGCTTTTTACCTAGATTTATAAAAAGAGAATATGTATTTTTTCATAAAAATGATTATGGTTTATTAAGATTTAAGTTTTAAAATAAAATTACTTGCTTGTGGTTCATTAAATGCAAAATGAACCAACATGAATATTATTTATACATACTTATAACATGCACATGAAATTAGATTTCGAGTATAAGTAAGTTTTGAGGAAAAGACAAATAAACTTTCAGAAATTAAATTATTAAATTTATTTATATGCTAAATTTTTGCCTACACTGCAAAAAAAAATGTATGCTCAAATTTCCCGAAACTTTCTTCGTTTTTGACGGATGCATTTCCTGGTATATTCTCTCAGTAATTTCTTTGTAACTTCCTCTAGATAACGAATTTTGTGAAAATTAAAGAATTTTTCTGTCATTCCACTTGTTTAAAAAAAAAAGAAGAAAAACTCGTAGAATTGATATTGTCACGAATCTCGTGATTACGTGACGAAACAATTCTCAAAATTAACGAAATACAGCTCAAAGATTGCTGAACAATCAAAAGTGAGATATTTATTTCTGAGAGTGCATAAAATATTTTAAATGTATAATAGTAGAAACAAGCTAGATGTTTTTCAATACTCTGTGGATGAGATAAGTAATTATCACGGAAACAAAATTTGTGTTTTTCAACCTTAGCTCCTCCTTCTGCAACTAGCTATAAAAATATAATTAATTACTTAAAATTAATCACTTTAGATGCACCTATCCTTGCATATAATTAATATCAATAAATCTAAAAGTTAAAAAAGAAATCAATTTTTGTAGAACTGCAAATGGGTTAAACAGATAAAAGCACATTTATTGTTCGTTATTCTGTCACGCAAAATTTAAATTCAATAGTTACTTTTCTTTATTTGGCATTAAAAAGCAGTTATTAGATTTAAACTAATACATAAAATGTATACATATGCGGCAGATTTATTAAGAAGCATATTTTTTTTAAAGAATCAATCAATAATAAAGATGAAATGGAAAAAAAAAGTGATCTCCTATATGATGCTCTTATAAATCTTCTCAAATATGGAATATGTAAAATGTTTTTATACACAAAATTCCAATGCATGACATTTGCACTACAATCTAGGAAAATTCCTTTTCACTATAACTTAAGATAATACTTAAGATTTATTAAGTTATATGTTTTTTATAAAACAGGGCCTTGTAAAGAGTACAAAACAGAATAAATCACTACAGAGAACAAAAAAATCTCCCAAGGGAAATTTATTTCTTGAGAAGACAATTTATTTTGCATAGTTCATATTACATAGAGATTATAAGTTTGGGACACGACAGCTAATTTCTTTCAGGATCAATCATTTTCTTGATGTTTGTTGTAAGATATATGCCCAGAATAATCTTACATACATTTTATCTATGTCGCATTAACGAGAAAGAAGTTTTTTTTTTTCATCGCTTCCTTTCACCTAAAGTAGAACTTTATTTTGTTTTTATCAGTTACGGATCAAACAATATCCTCCTCAAAAAAGATTTTTCAAAGATTCTGAAAGTTTTACTTCTGTCTTTTGCTTAATGATACTTTAACTTATCTTTAGGTTTTCGACAAAAAATAGGGTTCTTTAGGAAAGAAATTTGAATGCATTTCTTCGTTTTCAAATGTATTGAATTATGAAATTAATAATTTTTAGAATAAGACATTTAAGCCTTGTTTAAAATTCAGAATGATTTTAAATTGATGGCGAGCATTCCATTTTCGAAACAATCCATTCTTTCTTACATTCGATGCAAATAGTTTATTTTGGTATTTTTTCATCAAGAACCCAGTTTGTGATCATGATTTTGTGACAAACGGTATGATGTGGGGCGTGTCGTCAGCATTGAGTACTAACTACTCTTGCTTTTCAGACGAGATGGTACCGGCTGATCTGTATCTCTTATTCAATGGAAAATAACTTAATAAAAACAAAAAATGAAACATTTGTGCATGCACAGAAAAAAAAATATTTTTTTCACCAGTTAGGAAATCTTCAGGACAATTTATTTATACATTTCAAATGAATATAAAAAAAGATGTGTGAACAGTATTGGCAGTTATTTTTTTCCTCTCCATAAAAGCGATTAAATTTTTATACATTTTTTACCTAATTGCTATTTTTATCCTGAATCATAGAAACATTTATAAAATGACTTGAAAAGTGCAATGTTTTAAAGCGTAGACCACTCTAGCAGAAAAAAGATTGTAAAATTCGGAAATAAAATTTCTTCAAAATAATTAAATACGTCAAGGTTTTAAAAA